GGAGCAGAGGAATCGAACTTGGGTCGGCCATGTTGGACGCTTGCAAAGTAAACGCCCTGCCCCCTGTGCTATAGCTCCAGCCCATGCCACAGACATATTTTAAAAAATATTAAAAATATGTTCCCGGACACAGCTGGCTGTGCTCAGAGCTTTCTACTGATTCTGTGCTCAGGGATCACCACTGGAGAGACCAACCATAAGTGGTTGGTCTCGTGCCAGACAAGTGCCCTACACATTGTACTATCTCTCTGGCCCCAACAGACCAATACATTTTAACAGACCAGCAAGACTAACCTAGTTTTACCCAGTTGGTAGCTGGAAGGAGAAGAGTAAAGAAGGCACATTTTCTCCTAACTGCTCAGCAGGCATTATATTCCACTGGGGAGAAACTAATCATGTAGCCCTAAAATGTGCAGAAACATTTGACATAGTTTTGACGTGCTTTCTGTAGTTTCGCTATGAGTCCTGGAAAAGAAAACCAGTTTGGTGTGCTTTCTTAGCTGTGGGTATGTTTACCCTACTTGGGATATGTGTTTCACTCTCTCCATCTGAAGAAGTCCATGTTCTCTTGAGCACATGTCTTTCTTTCTTTGTTTTTTTCTTTCTTTCTTTCTTTCTTTCTTTCTTTCTTTCTTTCTTTCTTTCTTTCTGTTTCCTTCTTTCCCAAATAAATTTGTTTTACTTCACTATTTATGTTCCTTCCTGAAATTCTTTCTTGTGAGAAAAGGAGATGAACCTGGAAAATTTGGGTAGAATTTAGGAAAACAATAATTTCGCCACCAACCTGGGTTCCGCTGTTCCCTGAGAAATCAGACGGCAGAACGGCATCCCACGGTGCACAGGACAAGTGGAACCAGGGGCAGTTAGACAACTGCCTAGTAGGGCTGGTGAGACGTGGGACTGTATCGTGTAGGGATTAATCACAGATTCTCTTCAGTCCTGGGTGTCCCAGGGGATAAAGTGGGCAGAGGGGGAAGCAGTAGATGCTCTTCTCCACTCTGCCACCTCTCTCCTCCCCATTTCACAGAAGTCACTGGGGACCTGCTCCTCTCCCACCCACAACAGCCCTCCTCGTCTTTTAAGACTTAAGATAGAGACCCACGACAGTGCTTATACCCTTGATGCATTTCTATAGGGTACAGAGGACATGCTGCAATTTTTATTTAATTTCAGTCTTTTTTATTGATAGAGGCTCTGTGATTTACAATGCTGTCAATGATGGTTTCCCATGCACGTAATTCCAAACTACACCCCTCCCCAGTGTGCCTACCTGCCTCCCTCAAGGGCCATAATGCCCTTCCCTTTCAAGACCCTCCACACTCCAATTCAGTTGTGTGGATCAGTTGCTCCATTGTGTTGCCTCTGGCCTTTTTCTACACTTTTGTTTACATAAACATCTTTGCTACCTTACTGTGTATCTCTAAGTTCCATATATGATAGACATCATTCTTTATCTATCTCTTTCCTTCTGTTAGATTTCACTCATCATGATATCCTCTAGTTCCATCCCTGTTGTGGCAAATTGCATGGTTTTGTTCTTTCTCAGAGCTGCATCATCTTCCATTATGTGTGTAAACTGCAACTTCTTGATCTATTCATTCACAGTTGGGCATTTGGGTTGTTTCCATGTCTTGGCTATTGTGCTAAGTACTGTGATGAACACAAGTGTGCACATATCCTCCTGTATTAATGTTTTTGTATTTTGGGGATAGATGCCAAGACAGAGCACTTTTGTAATGTTGACAAAACTTTATTTTTGTACAAAAATAAAAATGCTATATACACAAGCATTTAATTATTTAAGGAACCAGAATATTTTGAGAACAGCCAGGTGCTTAATTAATTATAATATAATGACCATTAATAATAAAGTCAGCTTCTAAGAGTAAGACTGAGTCTCTATCTTCATATCTTCCATGACAACTGGGCACAGCACTGACTCACAAGTGCAATAACTAGGGAAAAACAATGAATGCCAACTCCCCTCCCGGTCTCTCAGATATTTTTTTAATGTGTATGTAGTTTAAAACAATAGCAATAAAAATAACATCTTCATCCTTTTTTTAAAAAAATGTGCATCACAGCACTGTTAACTCTATGCATTCTGGAAGCGTTCTGTAGAACTTTTTCCTCCTGCAAAACTAAAAACTGTAATGTTGTCGAACTCCCACCCCTTGCCTCTGATAAGAACCATTCTACTCTTTGTTTCTAGGAGTTTGAAGATTTGAGATACCTCCGAAAGTGGGATAACATGACACTGGTCTTTTTGCAACTCGTTCATTTTACTCAGCACAGTCTGTTGCTGCAAGTGGCTCACGTGAAATGGGGAGGAAGGGAGGCACCTGCCATTTCCCTCTCTGCCACCTCAGTCACCCAGGAGGACATGACTAGAAAATCTAGGACTGATGAGAGTCCGCAGATGAGCCCCTGCATGGAACACACTCAGAGTCTCACCAGCCTCGTCATCCAATAGCACCTGCTTCTACTTGTCTCCTGGCATGGGGAATGGGCCTGGCACCTGGATTGTCAGGGAGCTGTGGGGACCCAGGCCGGGCCCAGACTTAGCCTTTGCAAGTCTGTCTTCTTTCCACCACAGCAGACGATTCCAGGAGGAGACAAATATTGAAGTAAAACAGTCGTATCTAGATATTCCGAGGAAGGAGCTAGAGGATGGGCAGCTCAGGTATAGAAATAACTGGTCACCCGGGGATGGGGAACTGCCCTGCTTGCCTCTGGCCCTATGTGGGGCTTGCTACGTCAAGGGGAAGAGGTTGGAACTTTGGGTGTTCGCCTTTATGTCCTTATACAACCCTTTGTTCTTGCTGGAGTCGCTCTTGGGATGGGGGTCCTGCTTTCTCTGGGGCTGCACTGGGGTCAATTCAGGTCATATCAGTTCTGTGTCCCCAGAGTGGGTCTACCATGATGCTTCTTGGTTACTTTGGAGCTGGTGACTAAGTAACTTCTTTAAATCCCATCTGGGTCCTTCCTGAGAACTCACTGCCAGCCCTGCCCTATCTACCTGCCTCTTCACTGTCCTCAGTTGTACCTTCGCTGGTAATGGGGTCAGACATTCCTTCTATCTTAAGGCTGGAACAATATTTCATCATGGGTCTACGCCACATTTCTATACCTTTCATCATTCCTGGGTCTGTTTCTCACTTGTGGTTACTGTTAGTGAGTGACTTATGGGAAAATATTATTTGCTCCTGCCCCAAGAGAAAAATGGTGATTCCCTCCTCTTAAACATCGGGAATAGTGTTAGATTTTAAAGATTAAAAGGAAAACCAGAGAGTGTACAAAGAAATTAGATTTTAAAACATCAAGGATTATAAAAATCATGCCTCCTATTGTCTACCCACTGTGAGCATAAGAGATATCACCCGACTTTCAACTATGCCATGAGGGTCCCTGGTCAATATCTCTCCACAGCCCAGAGGCCTCTCCCCTCTCTCAGCAGCCTTTCACCCACCTCCTGAGCGTCCCCTGTTCCTTAGCCTCAAAATGGCTCTGCTGAAAAAAGAAGCAGTGAATTCTTAAAGCACGGCTAAACAAACCGACCGCCCAAGAAATAAAGGAATAAAACAAGAACTCTTGCACAGAACCCTTGCAAAGTCCCAGAGTAACCTCTGACCCTTCTGGGTGCTGCTGGTTCCAGGCGTTCATGTGCACTGCAGTCGCGGGAGGTCCTTCAGGGATCGGCATAACCTTTGCTTCAGTGCCTTCTCATGAAAGAATCTCAAATATCCTTGCATTATTAGCAAGTTCCTTACTTTTTCAGTCCGGCCTGCGGAGCTGTTACTCAAAACTGAAAAAAAACCTCCAAATGAACGAGCCGAGTATCCTGCGTGTACACATTAGACACCCGCACATAATTTTCTAAAAAAAAAATAAATAAATAAAAATAAAAAATCAAAGGAACACCAACCAGCTTTAAATGTAAACGCCCAGCAGAATTCATTTTTTTGCAAAATGCATTTTTTGCAAAATGCGCCCAATAGAGTTTGAAATAGCAAATAATCCCCCCCCCCACCCCGGGTGATATTAGCAAATTAATTGGTGCGCGAACAAAGGAGCCTTTCTGCAGAGGCAAGAATGTTGCCTTTCAGAAAACAGCTGTCGTGCATGTGGGCAAATGACAAAGCGGCGGCAGACGTGGTGGTGAACCGCGCGGGCCGGGCCGGCAGGAGGGAAAGGAGCGCGCGGCCGGCGGGCGGCGTCCGGCCTCCCGAGCTCCCCGGCGGGGGCCCCGCGCCCCATCCCCCGTCCCCGGCTCGGGTTTCCGCCCTCCCGGTCCAACCGACTCGCGGCCGGAGCGCCCCGGCCCGGGAGCTCGCGGCGCGGGCGCGGGCGTGGCCGCGGCCCGGCCGACTCCGCGGCGCCCCCCGCGGGCCCCCGACCCCCGCGGCCCGCACGTGCTGCGCCCGGCCCACGCGGGGGCGGAGGCGCCGGCGGCGGCCCGGGACCCGCCTCCCTCCCTCCCTCCCTCCCGGCCGGAGGAGGAGCGGCGGCGGCACCGCTGCGGCGCGGGCGGCCCGGGTGTCCCCGGGCACTTCCTGAGCGGCTCGCGGCGGTCCCCGCGCCGGCTCGGGCGCTCACGCTCGGCCCCGGACCCTGCGCGCGCCCCGACGACCCCCTCCGCGCGGCCCCGACGACCTCCCGCGCGTCCCCGGTCCCCGAGCGCGCCCCGGCCCCTGCGCGCCCCTGGCCCCGCGCGCCCCGGCCCCCGAGCGCGCTCCGGCCCGCGCGCCCCCGACCCAGCGCGCACCGCTCCCCCGAGCGTGGTCCCGGCCCCGCGCGCCCCTGGCCCAGCGCGCACCGCTCCCCCGAGCGCGGTCCCGGCCCCCGAGCGCGCTCCGGCCCGCGCGCCCCCGGCCCAGCGCGCACCGCTCCCCGGAGCGCAGTCCCGGCCCCGCGCGCCCCCGGCCCCGCGCGCGCCCCGGCCGGGCTCGCCCGCTCTGCGGTGGAGGCGCGCGAGGGGCCGCGGCCCGCGATGAGCTGACTGCGGCCAGAGACGCCGCCGCCGCCGCCGCGGGGCCCCGGGAGGCCGCGAGCCGCCGCGCTCCTCGGAATCGCCGCCCGGCCCGGCCCTGGCTTCGGAGATCATGTACGTAGGCGCCGCCGCGCTGCCTTTGTCTGGGCTGCGGCGCGGGGCGCGGGGACCCTGGGGGGCTGCAGGTGCCGCCCGCGCTGCTGACCGCGCGCCCCTGTCTCCCCGCGCCCGCCCTCCCCACCCCCTCGGCCGTGCAGGTCCATCCACATCGTGGCGCTGGGGAACGAGGGGGACGCGTTCCACCAGGACCACCGGCCGTCGGGGCTCATCCGCACCTACCTGGGGCGCAGCCCGCTGGTGTCCGGCGACGAGAGCAGCTTGTTGCTGAACGCCACCAGCACGGTCGCGCGCCCCGTGTTCACCGAGTACCAGGCCAGCGCCTTCGGGAATGTCAAGCTGGTGGTGCACGACTGTCCCGTCTGGGTAAGGGGTGGCCGCGGCTCCGGCCCGGGCTTTTCCTTTCTTCCTCCTCCCCCGGCCCTCCCTCCGGACCCCGCTCCGGGTCGTGCAGCGCGCAGGGCTCCCGGGCAGAGTTTTTGCGAAGATCGTGCGGGGGGTGGTACAACGTGGGTCCTTTGTTCGCTGGGGCCGCGGACACTAGGAAGGCGCAGCGCTGCCCACTGCACGATCCGGAGGTTTGTCCCCTGCCAGACAGCTGACGGACGGACGTGCCAGCCCCGCGGGACCGGGACCGGGTCAGAGACTTTCCCCAGCCCACGATGGGCGATGCCGTGCCGGGCCACCCCGTGCGCGACGGTGTCACGTTAGTGCGCAAAAGATCAAGTCAAGTCCGACCGAGCTGCAGTTCTCAGCAGTTCAGAAACGGGACCCTTGCAAAGGACGGTGGGAGGTGGGGGCTGGGAACGCACTTCAGACGGCTCCTCTGTGGCACCGTCCGCGTTTGGAAATGTTGAGTTGGTGGGTTTTTTAATCAAGATCCAGTGGACATCTACTAGACCAGTTGCCGGTATAGAGCATAAGGGACTGAGTCTTAGGTACAGATTGCAAAAGGATCGCATTGTAAGTCCACTTCATTAGTTAGTATTTTGAGTTTTCCAGATTATTTGGTAGGTAGGTGTGCGCGCGCGTGTGTGTGTGTGTGTGTGTGTGTGTGTACGTACACGTGTAGAATTCGTGAGTCAGAAATCAGATCGCTCGTGTGGCTTGGAGTTTTCAAAAAGTCTTAAAATTCTGTGACAATGGGAAGAAATAGGAGTGAAGTTGTTAAGTTTGAGTTGAGTTGTTGGGCGTTTAATAAGAGGAGGAAGGGATCTACTCCTTGACACGTTTCCTGTTCTCATTAACAGTACGTTTTGAATATTTCATTTTTTTCTTATGTGTGATTTTTCTGTTTCTTTACTGGTAGTGGAATTATTTTGCGACGAAAGAGTAGCTTTTTGTACCCGAAGAAAGTGGAAAAAGTAAAAGTGCCACTGATTATCCTGTGAGATTTTGCATTTAATGAGCTGGTTAAAAAAAAAAAAAAACGAAATTAGGGACTGTAAGGAACTTAGCTATAAAGCACACATAAAAAAATTTCTTTTGAGGATTGCTGCATATTATGTAAAGTCTCAAAGATCACTCGACCATGTAAATTGTCAGTTGTAGGAAATTCACGATAATAGGCTAAAATATAAAAAGCAGGCCTTTTCCGTAACAGGGATGAGAAGAATTCGACTGCGAATGGACAGTGATGCTGCTGTGGTAAGAGCCTTGATAAGAGAATTTATTGGCTGGAGGCCATCAAGCAAATGGAGCATTTCCTTTTGGTCATTTCTTTGTGAAAGAGATCTTACAGTCTAAAATATTTTGGTTCTGCTAGCAGTTGGAACGTGTTGTGTACATTGGGTAATTAAATGTAGGGAGAATAAGTTGAATTAGGATGGTTAGGGTTACCTTACTTTCTTCTTTTCTTTTTCTTTTCTTTTCTTTTCTTTCTTTCTTTTTTTTTGAGCCGTAACTCTTTTCTGTTTGTTAATTTAACAAAAAGCAGTGCTTGTGAACCTATGTGTGGTAGTCAATAAGGTCTTTCAAACGGGTTAAAATAAGCCTACATGGTTTGGATTTTTGCCATATACTGATTGTTGTGCTTTGTTTTGCTAATCACCTTTCATTAGGCTATGGCCCTCTTTAAACCAGGTGTAGTTTTCTAGATTATAATGGTTTTCTGACATGGTGGAGCTATTCTTTATAAGGTACTTTTCTTGGTGATAAGTCAAAGCCTGCCAGATAGAAAAGTTGATTGCATTTATCAGCTGGTATTTACATAGACTCTGAGTCAGAATATTCCATATACCACCTGAGCAGATAGAGCACAGGACTTGGATACGAAAGCCCTGCTTTGTTTGGTAGTGACTGTTTTCCTTGATAAGTCACTTTATGTTCACTTGATCTGATTTTCCCTTTCTGTAAAAATTGCAGCATAGGAGATGGAGAGAGAGAGAAAGAGAGAGGGGGGAGGGGAAGAAACAGGGGGGAGAGAGAGAGAGAGAGAGAGAGAGAGAGAGAGAGAGAGAGAGAGAGAGAGAGAATAGGGGTTTATAACTTGCCTTGCAGGGAGTGGAACCATGAGCCATGCCAGGGGAGGACCCTGAGCACCTACAGGGTAGGGTCCAAATCATCCGCCCCCAAATTTCAGCATAATCCCTGCCTCCTCTGCTGAAAAGTAAGTGAGAGAATGCAAGGACCGTTCTTCCTACCAAGGCTGGCATAGTGAAGGTACTCAATAATGAAGTTACTATAATCATCATTAAGTATTTATTTCCACTTTAGAATAGCCACAAATCAGTTAGGCTCGGTGAAAGTCAAGCTTTCTCACGTTGTTCAAGCTTTACCCACTAGTTGGGCAGCAGTGTTAATACGTAGTAGGTGGTAACTTTGCAGCCCCACAACCAAGAAGAACAAGACTGTTGTTTGCCGTGAAAATTCAGAAGCGTGAACGATGACTTCAGTTCTCCAAATGTGGCTCCCAGCCCTGTGTTGCATAACCTCTGGAGGAAACCCTGGAACTGATTTTCAAGGGGTGGGAGAATTTGATTTCCTTCATAATTCTAGAAACCAGTGGAACATTTTCTTTTGAGCCTAGTTTGAGAAGAAATGTGGTAGTGTTTCCTTAGAGTTGAAAAGAGAGTTTTGTATTTCTTCCTAGATTTCTTCCCATTGATTTGTAGCTTTCTCTGGGTCATTCCTGGTACTTTTTAGATGAACGTGTTCCAAACATGGTATATTTACTGATTAATCAGTATGTTTTGGGTATAGTTACATTGTGATGCCACTCCTAGAACTTTTTCTGTTTACCAAAATTTTCCATAAAAAAACGGTGATGTAACATAGACACACTTTTCTTGTGCAAGGCTTGAAGCTCTAATTTGTCTTAGTAAACTTATTTATACTTAAATATTCCTAATATCTCTGTATTAAGTATGCCCAAGCCCGATTTTTCAGGGCGTTTTCCATAGCTGGTCTCTTTTCCCCCTGTACACTTTCTAGGAAGCCTTGAATTTCAAACTCTTTAGAATGCTTTGTAAAGCAGTTATTCTGATTCTTCTTACAGAGTTTAATGGCTGCTTGATTTTAGCTTTACTTATATTTACTTTTTAAAAAATTTTCATTCATCTGACTGCTTCTTTGTTCTCTCTCCTGTTTCACTTGTATACTTTGTATTTGAAGATGATAGCAGATACAGTTTGGAGCAGAATGATTTTTGTGGTTTGGGATTGGGAAATTAGAGTAGTGCTCTGATGGAAGCCTGCTTTCATTTTCAAAATCTGTGTTCCACTCCCTGCTCTTGGCATCCTTTGCGGAGTCAAGACTTTGCCTTTGGTGTTTATGTTCAGTAGTTTGAGGGTTGGGGATGCCTTTCTTCTTCCAATAGGGTATTCTGATCTAAAAGTTCTTCAGTTCTTTGACTACCAGTGTTCTTGTAGGAATAGGTTGGTAGTAGGGGGACGTGTTCCAAATGGAGAGAGTACATGCTAGGTGAGAGGCATCATGTGTGACTCTCTAGAATTTGCCATCACAAGATGTTAAGTTTTGACACATGGGTCTTGATTGATTGATGCAAACCTCATTAATCCTGTTTGACTTTAGATGTCAAAGTGCAGACTTTCATCTGCAAAAAGATAGCCTAGCTCTCTTTGGATCTTTTCATAGAGAAACAGCCTATGGTCTTTGTCTAACTTTGTCACTTCCTAGAAATAGATGAAGGACACAGGAAAAGGCAGATAATGAACAGTTAAATGGGTGGGAGAAAGCTACTTGCTCCCAGTTAGCAGTGATACTAAGATGCAAATGTATTTTCTTTAAACCATTCTTCACACCAGACTCAGCAACCTTCTTGTAAAAATGTCAAAGCACTGCATTTCAAGGGAAAGGGTCCAGAATAAATTACTTTGGGCCCTGAGCCCAAATACAAATATTAGTAGTTGTAGTCCAGAAGCAAATATTTCAAAACTGGAAAGACATGCTGAATTTTTTAATTTATGTGAACAAAAAATAAATGTAAATTTCTTACCATGTTAGCACCTTATGTGTTATGCACCTTATTTTTGTGTGATAGCATGTACTTCGTACACATTATAGATAGACTGTCAAAAGATGGATAAAATTAAAATTTTATATGAAAGCTTAGAAAATATACGAACCCATTCTGTTCACACTGTATTATAGCTGAAAGCAATGCTGCTGTCTTAACTGGGTCACAGAAAATCCTTGGAAGCTTCTTTCCATATTGATACTCTTGCAAGAATGCGTAGTGTTACATTTGCTGGGTTGTAGGGTGACCAAAATAAGGCATGATTTTAAAATGTGCTTAGTTTTAGGTGCATATATTTAAAGAGACTGCTCTTCACTAGACTTTTCAGAATTGTTTACATTTTCTGTTATGCCCCTACATAGCTGCCAAGACTAAATAAATAAGTAAAAAATTACTTAAATTAGTAGACTTCAAATATTTTTATTTCACGTAGTTATTGTTTGATTTCGTTTCTTGGGCCACGCCTGGCTGTGCTCAGGGCTTATTCCTTTATTCCTTGATGTGCACTCAGGGATCATTCTAGCTTTGCTTGGCAGACCTTGTGAGTTGCCAGGGATAGAACCTGGTTTGGCCCTGTGCAAGCCAAGAACCCTGTCTGCTGTACTATTGCCCTGACCCTTTCACCTAGTTACTTTCTAAGAAATAAAAATTTTAAGCCGATTCCAATAATAAAAAAAGTATAAGATTGGGTTCTATAGCAAGTTTTAGAGGCTTGAAAGTAGGGTGTTTTTGAATTGTTCCTTGAATAAATTTTACTCAGTTCACAGGGACTGAGATCTCCAGGCCTGCTTGGATCGAGGCTGGGCATCCTCCACTCATCCTCCATCTTCCAGTAGGCGGGGGCCACACCCACCAATTCCCCCCTGGTGCCATGTAATCCCATCAACGGCCAAGACTCAGAGACTATAAAACCCAGCTCCTGGAAGCGTGCGGCCACATTTGCGGCCACGTGACATCTTATTATCTCATTCTTGCTTTGGACAACGGCAGAGTCTGGCAAACTTCCCGTGGTGTACCCAACATGCCAAACACCAGTAACAATGATGGGTCTCATTCTCCTAACCCTAAAGAGCCTTGAATGTGGCACTTTTGAGAATCTCAGGGCTAGGACGAAGGAGACGTTACTGGTGCCTGCTCGAGGCAATCTATGAACAACAGGATGATGGTGATTGTGATTGTGTGACCAATAATGAAAAAATAGTAGAAAATGTAGGGGCCAGAGCAATAGTATAGTGGGTGGGACATTTGCCTTGCATGTGGCTGACCCAGGTTCGATTGCCGGCATCCCATATCGTCCCCCAAGCACTGGCAAGAGTAGTTCCTGAGTGCAGAGCCAAGAGCAACCCCTGAGCATTGCTGGATGTAAGCCAAAAAGTGAAAAAAAAAAAAGTAGCCTAGCATGTTTTAGTTGATTTCATTTTCAAATGAAGAGGACAAGTAGACTACAGATTGTGAATTTGGTTTAGGACTTTTACTTATTTATCACAGTTTATGATATTCTGGGGTCTCAGGGCCTTAGTTCTATCCCTGTGAGCACTCTAAGGACCAGTGCTCCCCTCCCACCTCCAGAGACTCCTCTCCACGCTTCTGCCACCACCCAGCCTTTCCTTCCATAACCACCACACCTGCAGGAGTTCACTGCTGTTTTGAGTTGATGTGCATCAGTCACTGTGCTCCACATCTGAGTGAAACCTTGGGTCATTGTCTTTCCCTTTGGTCTAGGACATTTTTGACAGTGACTGGTACACCTCTCGGAATCTGATTGGGGGCGCTGACATCATTGTGATCAAATACAACGTAAATGACAAGTTTTCATTCCACGAAGTGAAGGATAATTATATTCCAGTGATAAAGAGAGCACTAAATTCAGTGCCAGTGATCATTGCCGCAGTTGGTACGAGACAAAATGGTGAGTATTGAATTTTCTCTTTTTTCTAAAGTGAGTGCAGCGACCCTACTCCTTCCACAGAGTTAAGTTTATTAATGATTAATGGTAAACTTCGAACAAGCCAGAATGACTTGGGTTCAAATGCCAGCTCTTATCTCATCATCTTTGGATATGATAATGAGACATCAAAGGGAAGTATTGGGACGTTTTGCTGTGATTTCCATGGCTTTGAGACTGTTTTTAGTAATGGTGCTCTTTTGGTAGAGAAGAGGAATTGGGCCGATGTGTGAGTCTGGAAGACTGACAATCTGGAGGTCAATCCGGTGGGAAGGAAAACTTATCCGTACAAGGATGTGGGCTTCAGAACAAGATCTCTAGGGTGAACATGTGACTTTTTATGAGACTTTTTTTAGTCTTAGAGTGCAACTTTGTGCCCTTTTTTGGGGGAGATGGGGAGTGTAGCACACCTTGGACTTCTAAAAGCTTACTCCTGGTTCTGTGCTCAGGGATTACTTCCGGTAGGCTCAGGAGGCCATATGGGGTGCTGGGGATTGAACTTGACCAGCTGCATCAAGGCAAGTGCCTTCCGCACCCTGGCTCCACTTTGTGCATATGTGCAGTGACCCACACCACCAGCACACGGATCACAGTAGAGAACTTTGATGATGGGAGGCTCTCAGGTATCTTCCAATTAATAACACCCTGCCTCAGGGGTAACCTCTCTCTGGCTCCAATATCCTCATAAATATGGAGTTGTATAAGGGTTGGGAGAGAGAGCAGGTAGGGCACTTGCCTTGCATCCAAGCCGACCCATCACTCCATATAGTCCCCCACGTCTCACCAGGAGTGATTCCTGAGTCCTGAGCCAGGAATAAGCTGGGTGGGTCCCCCAAACAAAAATTAAAACAACGGCATGGAATTGTATAGTAGTAAGTATGTGTTGTATTAGGTCCGACTCATTTCACTTAGCATGGTGAATTTGAGATTCTTCCACGTTGTGCTCTATTCTTTCTGTTGCTGCATATTATTCTAGTGCATAGCTGTACCTCTTTGGTTCACTGTTATTCTCTAGATCGTGCATAAATTGTCTGATGTAGGATTGGCGGGTCAAGGTAGACGTGTGTACATGAACAGCATTAGGAGATAACACCCAATAGGCTTGACCCTTGTCTCTATCTCTCCTCCTTTCCTGTCTGTCTTTATTTTGCCAACCTTGATTTTTGTCATCCATACTTCTGAGCTACTTCCTGATGTCTTATCTTTCTCCAGTAAATTACAGTTTGACTGGAGATTTACACAGTGATGCTGGGTTTGTTCTCATACAGCATTGGCAGCTAAGTGCTTGTCACCAAATGTAATACATATTGATAAGAATTCTCCTTGAAATGATTCAAACACAACTTTTGCTTCTCTTTATAAAGCAATCCTTTTCCTCCTGGTTGTTCAAGCTCTTATTTTACTGATTCCCTGCCTTCCTTCCACAAATCCCTGACTCCCAACACTTCCGGTAATTGTTTCTTGGGGTCCCATTGGTTTCACTTCCATTGGTTTCACTGAACCTGATAACCTGTTGACCTGACTTCCCCTCTGTCTCTATTGGTGACGACTGACTTTGTTCCTGGAGCTCTGGTTTCTCTCTGGACCTATATATCGCTGCTCCTTCCCTTCTCCTAAATTCTTTATCGTGGTGTGACTGACTCCCAATGTATCCATTCACCCAAACTACAATCATCCAACCCAACTTCCTCTTCCGTTCCCGATGATCAGTTGGCCACGAAGGTCTTTTAATGTTATTTTTGTTTGGGGGGCCACACCTTGCTGTGCTCAGGGCTTACACCTGGCTCTGTGCTCAGGGATTACTCCTGGCGGGGCTCAGGGCAACGATACCTGTGATCAGACCTGGGCTGGCTGCATGTAAGGCAAGTGCCCTTTGCCTTGGCCCCCAAGAAAATCTTTCAGCTCTACATTGTAAGTCTCAAACGCTGTACTTTCTCTTCAGAGTTTCAGATCCTAATCACTCAATTGTCTGTCAAGTGTATCCCCTTTCTGGTCTCCTTAAAGGGGCAGTTCCAGAATTTGTAGGATCCGAAACAATTTTAAGTGTCCTTTTGTAAAGAAAAAACTTTCAAAATTATAGGCAATTACATGAACAGAGTGGATATTTATATTGAAAACACACACACACACAATTTGCAGATTCTAAAAATGCTTCTCAAATATGACACACATTTAAAAATGTTTGTTATTAAACAGATTGAGACTTTTTAAATTTTTCTGGTATATCTTGGGCTGCACATTCTTCGATCACTTCATGTAATAACTTCTCTTTGATAAAATTCCTATGTTAGGAAGAGAATGCCAGCTGATGTTTTTTTTCAGCCTGTGTTTTCACTGTCTACCCCCTTTTCATTGTGGGCACCGTGGTGTGTTTTGTGTTCTTTCAATTCTGCATATTTGTATTGTGACACATTACAGAATGTTCATAGTAAGCAGCGGAAGAACGTTTAGGCCCTTTCTTGTTCCAGGGCAGCGCTCAAGCACTTGAACTGGACAAGGAAGTGACTACAGACCGCAGATCATAAACCACTAAACCCAGATCTAAAACCCTCCAGTGCACCTGGTTACTTCAGAGCTATTTTTTACAAGATGAATTGAGTTAGGGGGCTGGCGAGGTGGTACAGGAGGTAACTTGCTTGCTTTGCAGGTGACCTGGTTCAAATCCCCGGCACCACGTATGATCCCTGAAGCACCACCAAAAGTCACTTTCAACACTTGGATGTGACCCTAAACCTTCCAAAAATGAAAACACACACACACACACACACACACACACACACACACACACACAAACCATGATTAAATGAGTTGAAAGAGTGAAGATTGATTATTACCAAATGTAGTTCAAGTATCTCTGCCAATTTTACAAAAGCTCGTGTCCATGTGAAAGAATGCTTTGCTCTGGTGCCCTCTAGGACTTTAAGATAAGAATCACGGAAAAGGACATGGAAACTTCAGCTTTATCAGTTTCATGGCGAATTAGACTCTAGTCTTCTTTTCCTGCTTTCTTCCTTTCTGCAATAAAATCCTCTCTGAGTAATAATCTTAAAATATAAGTCAGGTCAGGGCATATACAATGCTTTAAATTCTTTAGAAATTTTTGTCCCCCACCCCCAATTTTATGTGCAAAATTCAGACTTCAGAAAATAAACAAGAATAAGGTCTCAAATGCCAGAAATTATAATACAGAAAAAAAATTTTATTTGAACCATTTTAGAGTAAATTATAAATATTATGGGATTTTATACATTTCCTAATTAAGTGCATATCGTTTAAGAACAAAACTGTTCTCCGTTAACTGTAATAAAATCTTTGCTCAAAAAATGTAAAATACTGTTTATCTATTATATTATTAAAGTGTAACCTATATTCACATTTCTGTTTTTGTTCTGAAGCTGTATTTTGGATCCAGAATGAAATTAAGGACTGTACATGGCATTTAGTGGTCATACCTTTTTAGTTTTCTTTTAATTCACACCAGTTCCCTGAGTTTGGGTGGAAAGAGGGAGGAGGACATCGTTAATGAAATTACCATCCTTAAAGAATCCAGGACTATTATTTTGGACAATTCTTTCTGTTTTAGTAACTGTGGTTGCAAGATAATGATTTTCTATCATCCCTTCTCTGCTTAGCGGTTGGTGTTGTTCTGTAAATAGGCCTTTCTCTTCTCTCCGTTTCCACATTTTCTTTCAGCACCATTGTGATTCATAGGTTTGTCCCCTAAGGTCAATATTTCACGATATCTGTTCTTCTCAGCATATTTTTCTGATTCTCAAATTGTCCCCAGTTTTCCTGGAGTGAGTTGCTTCAAGCTAGCTCCAGTAAATCTCGAGCACTTCTTTAATTTCTAACACAGGTTCTAGGCTCACGTTCCTGTGTGCCTGTTCCAGGCCTGCAAGCCAGAATTCTGTTTCTTATGGGTGAGTAATGATATTTAGAAGCCAAAGCCTGGGTTCTCGGGGGTGCTCACTCTGTAGCTGTCGTTGCTTCTTGGCTGTTTCACTGGATAGGATCACATTTTTTAAAAATATGAGTTTCCAATGATACGATATTTCTGTACAATACTTACATCTTGCTGCAGTCCTTTTTTTTTTTTTAAATTGTGAAGTCTTTCCTAAGAAAAAAGAGTTTCATGATGCAGCCCCTGACTGAGTACACCCAGAACTCCATAGGGCTCAGCCCACTAACTGATTGAAGGAACTTAACGTCTTTCTCTACAATGGGGACAGTTTTGGCCTTCTGTTCTCTGCTGCTATGTCTTTCTTTGCCTTTCTGTTTTCTTCTTTTGGACTCTTTTTAGGTGTTGGGCTCTCTGGGCCTCTCCATTTCTCTTACCTTTCTTTTTTCTTCTTCTTCTTTTTTTTTTCTTTTTTGTCCATTCTAGCAATGCTCAGGGGTTATTCCTGACTCTGCACTCAAGAATTACTTCGGTCGGTGCTTGGGGAAACCATATGGGATGCCAGGGATTGAACCCGGGTCAGTCGCATGCAAGCAGATGTCCTCCCTGCTGTACTATCACTCCAGCCCCTTACCTTTCTTTTATTGCGCTCATCCTTTTATTTCTCTGTGTTACGTTATAGAAAAACTCCTTGAGCTGTGTTTGCCAGGGCACACTTTAATCCTGCTGGGTTCATGTCATGCTTTGGCAGTGGGATTTGTTTGCTCTATTTTTGTATGTTTGCAGTGCCGGGAATCAAACCCCGGGTCTCACAGATGTATGACAAAGTCCCTAGAGCCGAGCCATATCCCTGATCCCCTTGGTGACTTATTAACTCGGTGTTTTTTTTTTATTTTTTTTTTATTTCAACAGTGTTTCATGGAAGATGTTTAATTGATTCTCTCTTATAATTTCTTGTATCTGTTTTAAGGTTGCAAAATTTTCTGTTTGTTTGGTTTAGGGCCACACCTGGCAGTGCTCAGGGCTGATTCCTGGCTCTGTGCTCAGGGATCACTCCTGGCAGGGTTCTGGGAATCATTGGAGGTGCCAGGGATTGAACCCAAGTCAGACACGTGCAAGACAGCACTTTACCCCTGTACGAGAATATACTTAGATAAGCCTGCTAAGCGTGTATCATAGGAAAGCCGTGAGACTGAGTACACTAGAGGGCCAGAGAGAAAGTACCATGGGTAGGGTGCTGGCAGACAGCCACCCCATGGTACATTTTTGAGTGATGATTTTTATTATAGATAATGTACAACAGGGTTTTTTTTTTAAATTTTTTTAATGAACCACAGTGAGATACACAGTTACAAAGTTGTTCATGATTGGGCTTCAGTCATATAATGTTCCAACACCCATCCCTTTACCAATGTACACTTCCCACCACCAATGCCCTCAGTTTCCCTCTCATCCCTCCATCCCTCCTCCTCCCCCCACATCCCCTCACTGGCAGGCACTTTTCTTCTCTTTTTCTCTCTTTCTTTCTCTTGCTCTCCATAGGACAGTTTTTGTTAAATTTAAATCGACAAGTTTTCTCCAGCTCCAGGATGCAGAACTAAAAATAAAAAAAAAAAAATAAAAGCATCAGTCATTTTTACTTATTTGAAAATTCTATATGGATTTATGTCTTTCTCGGAAAGAATTGTAAGTTTTTCCATTGGACAATTTTATTTATTTATTTATTTTTATGGTACAGATGCTTCTCAGAGAGCTCACAATTCTTAATTCGCCTGATTTTGCCATTGGATTATGGGTGGGGTCTTACCTTTCTCCTCCTCTGCTCGTCTCTTCTCTCTGGGGAGGAGGGAGCAGGAGGCGTTCACTCTGCACCCCCAGGTTTCATCTACCCCTGGGGTTCTCCAGCTCATCTCCCCCAGTTTTCCTTGGTCTCCTCCTTGCCTGCTCCCCGTCAGCGGGTCAGGAACTTGGTCCCTGCTGCCGTCCAGTGCGGTCTCCCCAGCACCCGCCCTGATTTTCACCTTTGCTCCTGGCCCATGCACCTTGAACCCAGGTCAGTCGCATGCAAGCAAATGTCCTCTCTGCTGTACTATCGCAAGCTCTGCAAGCTCAAGTTTCTGGCCCCAAGACGGCCTGTGGTTCTTCGCTGTGGCTCTGCACACACATCTCTCCTCCTCCTCTCCCCTCCCTCCACCCGTTCCCCTCATGGATTGAATCATTTCTGCCCTAGGGAGAAGAGAACACAGTGTGGGCTTTGCTTGAAACTGGAAGCAAATGTGTTCCTCTTTGGTCTCTCGTCAGGGGTCTCTGTGTTTGTCGCTTTCTCCACCGTGAGAGCCCAACTGGCTGCAGAGAAGCCAGCCCACTTCTCCTCGCGACTCTGTGTCTTGTCTGTAGCCTAGGCAGAGTGAACTTCCCCCGCCCCCTGTTCCCCTGGCGATGTCGTGCACCTTTATCTCCATGCTTTTTCTAGCACAACATCAGGGGCTTGTAGTTGGCACACTTTTGGTCCCTCCGATTGTGAGATTCCTTCCTCTGTGGGACGTTACAGACCTAGTGTTTGATAGGTGCTCAATAAACATTGAAGGAACAAATGCATGGTCTTATGAGGGATAGAGCTAAGTGAAAAATCAATTGTACTAACAAGGTAAAATTAATTTACCCCATTAGGTCTGATCACAGAGTAATTTCTAGGCTGAATCGGGCCTGTCCCTCTTGTCCTCCTCCCTCCCAGATCCTTGTGCCAAGCCCTGCTGCCTGCCCCTGGGAATTGCTCTGGAATAGTCCTTCTTTCCCTTTGGATTTTGGGCCACACCTGGTGGTGCTCCAGGCATGCTCCTAGCTCTGCACCCAGGGATCACTCTGGGGATGGCTTAGGAGACTGGGTGGGGGGGTGAAAGCCATAGGGGCACTCTGCTGGGGATCAAACCTGGATCGGCTGCCTGGAGGCGCCTTGCCCTTGATACTCTGTCTCTGGGCCCCTTCAGCCCACACTCAGTTCCATCACTTTCCTCTGTGTTACATGCTTGGCAGGATTAACTGTGTATATGTCTTCATCAGACTTAACTTTACAAATATCTGGTTTTTGCTGAATATTGAATCATGTTTTTATCAAGACATCATAATGTACAATAGGGTTTGGATGCTTTACGATACCACTGTCCCATACTCACCACCAGATTTCAGCGTCTGGGCTCCTTCTTCCCCCATAACAGACTCAGTCCTACAAGCAGACTCCCAGGGTCTGTTTTGTTTGAATCTCTCTTAAAAGTAGATATTGAGGGAGTGAAGAAATAGTGTAGGAATTAAGCTCCATGCTTTGCATGTGGCTCACCTCAGTTCAGTCCCTGGCGCACGGCAAGGTTGCCCAAGCATCCCTGGGTACAGCCCTGGATGTCCCCAAGTACCACTGGGCTGGTCCAGGTGATCTCTGGCACTGCAGGGCCCCAGCAGCTTTGCCTCATCAACCCTCTCATTGGATCCCTAAGCACAGAACCAGGGAAAGCCCTGAGCCAGATGGGTGTGACACCCCCCAACAGCAGCAAAAAAAAAAAAAAGGTTATTTTATGTAATTTTCACATAATTTTGATGTAAAACATTACTGAAGGCTTAATTTTTGTCCAGAACCCCAGTCAGCTTTGTGCATGGCAGGGCCCCACCCTCCAGCCCCTCCTTCAGTTTTAAATGTTTCTGATTTTGAAGGGAAAGAAAACAGTGATTGAATTTAGTCTTTATAATGACATGTTTCAGGATCTAAGAAATGAGTTGGTTTGGTTAAAAATATGCTTTATGGGCATACAGTACAGTAGGAAGACACTGGCCTTGAATGTAACTCACCCGGGTTCGATTCCCAGAACTGCACAAGGTTCTCTAAGCACCAGCAGGAATGATCCTTGAACACAGAGCCAGGCAGGAGTAAGCCCTGAGCTCTGTTGGGTTGAGCACCTTCCCCGGTTGGTGCTCAGGGTTTACTCCTGGCTCTGCACTCAGAATTTGTTCTTGGTGGGCCCAGGAACCATTTAGATTGTTGGATACTGAATCCGAGTCAGATGCACACAAGGCAAGTGCCTTTACTGTCTCTCTGTTCCCTAGAGTTTATTTTTCAAAAGAGCCAATCCATGAGCCAGAGAGGGTGTAGGGGTGATGGTTCTGGCCTTGCAGGCAGCTGAATTGATCCCCATATTCCCTATATTCCCCAGAGAGTGATCCCTGAGCACAGAGTCAAGAGGGCCCTTGAGCACCACCATGTGTGGCCCAAACAAAACGCAACATCCAGGAGGAAAAACCATTCAGGCAGACAGAAACCCTGTTCTCCATGGGTTCTAGAGGAAACAGGTTGTTAAATTTGTATTGAAGGATGGATTCGAGGTTGTGTGAGAGGAAGCGGGCACACCGTTACTTGCTGATGGACCCAGTCCTCCGACTAGCCCTTCTCCTGTTTTCCCATTCCTCCGGTTTCCAAGGATTGTTACTCTTCTTGTGATTAAGCTCGCAGATTTCAGGGCCCTCTCTGCTCTCATTTTCCACTCAAGAGTTCAGAAGGCGGTAAATCTGTTACATAGCCTTGAACTGTGGGTTCTGGTATGAGCTCATTTGTTGTCTCACGTTCAGATGTTCTCCGTGCCTTTTTTCACTGCCTCATGTCAAAGCTCCTTCCTACTTCCGTTCCTTTTTCTCAGAAGAATTACCTTGCACGTGTCCACTCTGCACCTCGGACCGAGGCAGCTGTGTCAGTACCACGGAGGGCATCCAGCTGGCCAAGGAGCTGGGAGCGACCTATCTGGAGCTGCACAGCCTCGATGACTTCTACATAGGAAAGTATTTCGGAGGAGTGGTAAGTGGAAATTCCTGTTCCCTAAAGTCACTTGGCGGGTTGGCCCTTTCACTGTGTTTTTCAGAACATCAATAAGAAATTCAGTTCCTGAGCATGACCAGGTTTTTAACCTTGAGAAACAAAATGTGACTGAAGTGTCAGAGGGTTGCTGAGACTCAAGCTGTATTTTCTCTCCCAGTGAAACAATTTCTGTTGACTCACATGATTTTTTTTCCCATTTGGTGATTTGCTTATATTGATCTGTGAGGTACACCTCAAAGGCATGTCACCATACACAAAGTGGTGACGTTCAGCTTAGTATTAATCTTTCTTTGTGTAGCTCAGTGAGTCTGGCAACCTGGAAATTCTTCATTCCTGTCTAATTTGAAAAGAATAATTTTCTTTTTTTTTTTTTTGAGGTGGGGGGGAAGGCTACACCTGAAGGTGCTCAGGGCTTACTCCTGGCTCTTTGCTCGGGGATCACTCCTGGTGGGCTTGGGGGACCTGATGGGTCTGGAGTAGTGCTGGAGATTGAACCTTGGTGCGTGCAAAACGAGGTTCACCTTACCCACTGTACTATTGCTCTGATCCTGAAAAGAATAATTTCCATCTTCTCTGTGCTTTGACGGAATTTTATAAACTTCAGGTCACAGTATCCCAAAGAGTCCCAGCCCCGATAACTTGGTGGGAAAGTGGAGAGACAGGGCTGACTTGCTTAGTTTCCAGGGACATTTATTGAATCCTGTTGGCTTTTAAGGCCCAGAGGTCTGAGCATAACCATGCCAGCCCTGTCTGGTTCTTGGAGGGTGCTGTGGGATTGTGTCATTTAAGTATTTGAGACTTGACTTTGGACTTTTCTCTCCAGTCCTCTAAGGAGTCACTCCTTAGAAGACAAGTCTGATAACAATGAGGAGGGGTTTAAAGCAAAGTAGACCCTCGGTTACAAAGAAATATGTTGGACTTACCCAAGATTCATTATGTAGAAGTTGCAATATTGTGATTTCTGGAGAAGACTGTAGAAGCCATTTGTATTGGAAATGCAGAGACAATAGAAATGGTAATATACAACATTAAAAATTCAGCATTGGGACCAGAGAAAGAGAGAGAGTACAGAGGTGAGGTGTAGGCCTTGCATGGGGCTGCCCTCAGTTGGGTCTTCGATACCACCTGGTTCCCTGAGCATCACTGCATGTAGCCCTGGATCCAGGATGCCTCCAACAGCACCACAGTGCCAGCACAGCCCTGGCATTGAGCTAATTGGCTAAGCATGAACAAGAGCGGTCCCCCAGGACCCTGAGCACTGTCTGGGCGCCCCTCCCCCATCACATCATTAAGGAAGATCTAGTCAGAATACCTATTATTATCATTGATCGAAAACCTTTTATCTTATTTTTAGTGATGATAGAAAGGTAGAAAAGGACGGAAATCATTTTTCTTACCAAGCATATTACACTGTAGTGGTTTAAAACTTAATTTGGTCTAAGCATCTTGCATTTCTCTGAAATACAGATGCAGTCAGGAGAAAAAGATAACTTAGTTCCGTTTGTTGGAAAGGATGAGGCGAGTGCTCCAAGCCCAGATTTTTGTTGTTGTTCATGTTGTTCCTCATTGCAGGTTCTTGAACCTTGGCCTTATTCTCAGGTCCCCACTTTCCGTTTCCTATCTTCCAATTTCTCCCTCTCTCCCCTTGCTTCGCCTCGTACAAATATTGGAGCATGATTATATTAGTAGCATGGTCAAGGTGGGGAGAAAACATGGTGGTTCCTGTGTCCTTAGATCAAGATCTGATGATGGGCTGGAGAGATGGGACAACCAGTCGGGCACTTGCCTGGCACACACTGGACCCCAGGTCCATCCTTGTCACCACCTCTGGCCCCTGAGTAGCACCAGGAGTTATCCCTGAGCACAGAGCTAGGAGTAAACCCTGAGCACAGACAGACGTGGCCTGAGCACAAGAAAGGGAAGATGATGAGAGCAGGGAAATGAAATGAGAATAACCACTTTATTTTTCATTCAGTCACTGTGAATTACCAAGTTACAAGGTTATTCATGGTTGAGTTTTAGGCATACGGTGTTCCAATACCAATCACTTCACTCCTCCAATACCCCCAGTTTCCCTCCCGACCATAGAGGCGCTTTTTGGCCTTTCTTGCTTCCTTTAGGCACTGTGGTTTAGACTGTTGCTTATGAGTATCGGGATATCACTTTAGCTTCTTCAGTCCTCCTCCAGAGTGCCACTTCCCTTCACCGTTGTCATACTGTTCCCTTCCCCTCCGCCTCTCCCACTCCCTCCGTTTCTCCCCTATTATGTTTGTTTATACCTTGCAGATGCGAGAGGTCATTCTGTGTTTGTCCCTCTCCCTCTGACTAGCCTGGCTCAGCGAGACATTCTCCAGATCCATCCACATAGTAGCACATTGCGTGCCTTTCTCTTTTCTCGTGGCCTTACCGCCGGTAGTATTCCACTCTGTGTATATGCCATAGTTTCTTTATCCAGCCATCTGTTCTTGGGCACTTGGGTTGCTTCCAGATTTGGGCTGTTGTGAATCGTGCAGCAATGAACCTAGGAGGGCAGATGTCTTCTCCGCATCGTAGAATAAACCTCTTGTCTGACTCTTGAGTCGTAAAGTGCGAATGAGATCATGAATTTAAGAAATACTGGCATTTTCAAGAACAGGGGTGGAGCTGATCTGTCAGATTGCAGGAAACATCTAAAATATCTTGAGGAGCGGGTGAAGAGCTATGCAGTGTTTGCTGCAGCCCCATGCCAGGGGGACCCGCATTCAGCCTCCATAGAGCTCCTGTCTGGCCCTTCCCCAGTGTGCCCTTCCCCGCACGGCACCCATCCAGGGAACATGCCTGCGGCATCTCATGGACCCCTTTGAGACCTTCAGCGTCCAGAATGGCAGCCTCAGCCACAGGTGGCCGTGTGACACTCCTGCCACATTTCAGGCATTCAGTAGCAGCACACGGCTAGAAGCCACTCTTTTGACTGATGCCAGAATTGTAGAACATTTTTACCACACGGAAGTCTAAGTTCCATTGAACAATGCTGTGACCCTTCTCCCAAGATCTCAGAATTGTCTGATCAACCAGCAATGTTTCCTGCTTTGTGTGGGCTCTCCTGGGCCAGGCTCCTGAAGGCGGGGGACTGCATTGCTGGTTTACACACCCCTAGGCCTGAAAGTGCACACGGGTGGTTGCACTTGAGAAACGGTGGAGGAGAGTGGATGTGGGTGCCCAGGCATGGGATTGAGAAGGGGTATTGTTGGGGCCCAGAAATGAGAGACTCAGAAACAGTTAAGAGTCTATATGAATAGAAGCTGGAGCAGTAGCACAGCGAGTCGGGAGTTTGCCTTGCACGTGGCCAAGCCAGGTTCGATTCCCAGCATCCCATATGGTCCCCTGAGTACCACCAGGAGTAATTCCTGAGCGCAGATCCAGGAGTAACCCCTGTGCATTGCCGGATGTGACCCCCCCCAAAAAAAAGAGTCTATATGAATATACATGTGAAATTCTCCTTTTAGGTGGATTTTAGGCTGGGGGTCTGGGGGAATTTCGATTCTGAGTGGTGCTCAGGAGTTTCAGCAATTCATCAGCAATTCTTGGCCAGTGATTCAATACAAGGACCGAGAATACAGTACCCCATAGGCCTTGCCAGAGATGACCTGGGTCACCCCAGAGGTGCTGGGGCCACTGAGTTCTTACAATAATGTGTTTATTCAGTCTCTTTCCCAGTTTCCAACACTTAGGTATATGTTTGTGAACGTTTGCATGTACTCTTCCCCAAGGCTCGCAATGTAAGATTTTTGGGTTTATGAAGGGAAGCAAGTGTTTTCCAATCATTGATTCATGAAAGAAGGTGGTATGCATGTGAACTCTCCTGGGAGAGAGGAAATAGTCCTAAATCTTTTCCTGCCCAGAATTCTGCTCATATGAACATCTGTGGGTGCCTGTGAGGTAATTATTGATGGTCACTTGACTTTCTTTTTTTTCTTTTTTTTTTTCTTTTCTTTTTGGGTCACACCCGGTGATGCTCAAGGGATTACTCCTGGCTTTGCACTCAGGAATTACTTCTGGCGGTGCTTAGGGGACCATATGGGATGCTGGGAATCGAACCCAGGTCGACTGCATGCAAGGCCCTGCCTGCTGTGCTGTCACTTCAGCCCCGGTCACTTGACTTTCTTGCTTATCCAAAAGAATAACCATGTCCTTCTTGAGCAAATAGTTTTTTTTTTTAAATTTACTCCAGGATCAATCTGTTTCATTTGATACATTATTTTTAATTGAAAACATTTTTGTTGTTGTTGTTGCTGTTTTGTTTTTTTAAAGTAATTGCTAATATATGCAGAATACTGGCCTTAGAAATATTTGGCAAAAGTGATTTGGGAAGTAAATAAACATGACATTATTTTGTTGGAACTTTAAACGTTGATTTGTGTTTTAGTTGGAGTATTTTATGATTCAAGCCTTAAATCAGAAGACAAGTGAAAAAATGAAGAAAAGGAAAATGAACAGCTCATTCCACGGCCTTAGGCCCCCCCAGCTTGGACAGCCAGGTACATTTATTAGCAAATAGATGTTTGTTCAATATTTTTTACAGATAATTTTTACAAGCCTTAGAGTAAGTGTTCAAGGCACATCTGATATTCTGATTCACTCTGTGATCTGGAATCTTCTTTTAAAATAACTTTCTTATTTTGACGCGAGTGGTGCTTGGACCGTATTTTTATGTCTTAAAAACTTGAATCTGGGGACTGGGAAGATTGTACAGCGATCAAGGCACTTACCTTACAGACGGCCAGTCCAGTTTCATCCTGTATGGCTGTATGCCCCCCCGTCCCCTCCCCCCGTGCCCAACCAGGAGTGATCCTCAAGCTTATAGCCAGGAGTATGCCCTGAGCACTGTCTGTTATGGCCCCCAAACCAAAAACAAATTATAATAAAAAAAAAAACTAACCAAACAAAAAATACATGAGCCTACAAATTCTTAATAATATATATTTGAAGACCTATTCTAGATTAAAGTCTAATAGAAAATAACAAATTAGTGCATGTACCTTGATTAATTCCTGCTAGAGCGATAGCACAGCGGGTAGGGCGTTCGCCTTACACGCGGCCAACATGGCCGACCCGAGTTCGATTCCTCCGCCCCTCTCGGAGAGCCCGGCAAGCTACCGAGAGTATTCGATATGCCAGACACAGTAACAACAAAGTCTCCAATGGAGACGTTACTGGGCCCGCTCGAGCAAATCGACGATCAACGGGAGGGCCTTTACCTTTACCTTACCTTACCTTGATTAATTCCTAGTCCATAAAAAACACCTAAATGTCACTTTTAGGACCTTTTGGTGAAATTTTAATATAGACTGGAAGTTAGAGAGTGTTATGGAATTTTGTTCTTATGTGTGATAATGGCATATGGCTAATGGATGTTACAATATTTAGCTGATATTCTTTTGTGATGGTTGCAGCTTTCCAATGGCTCAGAATTATGAGTGTGTTTATCTAGAGATAAGGTAGCACTGCAGCACTGTCCTCCCGTTGTTCATTGATTTGCTGGAGCAGGCACCAGTAACGTTGCCATTGTGAAACTTGTTGTTGCTGTTTTTGGCATATTGAATACACCACGGGAAGCTTGCCAGGCTCTGGTGTGTGGGCAGGTGCTGGAGTGATAGCACAGCGGGTAGGGCGTTTGCCTTGTATGCGGCGGACCTGGGTTCGATTCCTCTGCCCCTCTCAGAGAGCCCAGCAAGCTACCGAGATAAAGTAGAATAGTAAAAAATCTTAATTGCTAAATTTAAGTGAAGGATATGTTTATGCTTCTTTAAAAAAATATTTAAACTTCATTTAAACACTGTGATTTATGAAGTACACAATACAGTTGTTTCAGGTATTCAATATACCAACACCAGTCGCATTTCCAATGTGCCCTTATCTCCACCAATGTCCCGAGTTTCCCACTCCCTACCCCCCAAGCCTGGTCCCTTAGCAGGCACTGATTATTTAACTTAATTTATGTCACTTGTTACAACATATGTCTTGTAATGGTGATGCTAAAGCAATGGCCCGAGGATTTACTGAGCTGTTAGGTGCAGCCGGGCCATCTGTGTTACTGTTTTCACTCATTGAACTTAGAGGGCTTCTGCTCAATTTTCCAGTCTGATTTTCTTGTTCCTCCTGGACTCTTGGCTTGGTGAAGCTGGGAAGTGTTGCAGGGCCGCATATGTGGCTGTGTGCCTCAGGGACTTTGGAGCAGGGACAATCGGCTGCAGGGGTCTCTGCCATCTCTCTGAGATCAGTCCTGAAGCCGGGCCATTTCTTTGGCCATGGCGGGAGCCAGGTGTAGTTGGAAGGAGTGCTGGACCTTTGGCAGGGCCTGGACTTTGTCTGCACCCATCCTGCCCTGGGTCCAGAGATCTTGGCCTGGTGGTGGCTGGGTCTGCCTGGATAGCTCAGCTGCTGGCGTCTCTGAGCGCAGTCTGTATGTGCTTCTTGATCATTCTTTCACCCTTTTTTACTGTTTGAAAACAATCATATTGCAAATTTAGAGAAAGTAGCACTGTCTGTAGCACTGTCCTCCCGTTGTTCTTTGATTTGCTCAAGCAGGCACCAATAAGTCTCCATTGTGAGACTTGTTGTTACTATTTTTTTGGCATATTGAATATACCACGGGTAGCTTGCCAGGCTCTGCCCTGCGGGCAGTGTACTCTTGGTAGCTAGCCAGGCTCTCCGAGAGGGACGGAGGAATCAGACCTGGGTCAGCTGCACGCAAGGCAAACGCTCTACCCACCGTGCTAGAGAAAGTAACTAAAAATAAATCTTCATAAAATGTTTCAAACTTTTTTGGGGGGACCATACCCTGTAATGCTCAGGGGTTGCTTCTGATTCTGTGCTTAGGGATTACTCTTGGTGGTAATCGGGCAACCATATGGGGTACTGAGGATTGAACCCAGGTTGACTGCATACCAGGCAAATGCTCTGCCCACTGTACGATTGTTCCAGGCTCTCTGGCATTTTTTGGGTTTTATTTTTGTTTGTTTGTTTGTTTTGCTTTTTGGGTCACACCCAGAAATGCTCAGGGGTTATTCCTGGCTCTGAACTCAGGAATTATTCCTGATGGTGCTTGGGGGACCATATGGGATGCTGGGGATCGAACCCAGGTCTGCCGCGTGCAAGGCAAATGCTCTACCTGCTGTGCTATCGCTCCAGCCCTCTCTGGCATTTTTTTTTTTATTAGTGAAACATCATGAGGTACAGTTGCAGACTTACAAATTTTTGTGTTTGGGTTTCAATTATACAATGATCAAATACCCATCCCTCCATCTCTGGCATTTTTTAACTTAATTTTGTGATGGAAGTAGACTGGTTCTCCATCCAGATCAATTTGATCCATATATAGAAACTGGAAATGATGTATGACTTGACTGTGAACTTCCTGGGGTGACATAGCCTCATGTAGGAAACACTGGAGCCTTAAATACTTTCTGGATAAGAAGACAGACAGGTAGAGAAAAGTCAGGCAGACAGTAGAAACAAATAAAAAAAAGAGACGGAGTGATAGTACAGCATGTAGCAGCATGCCTGGCATGTGGCTGACCCAGGTCCATTCAATCCCTGGTAGGCCATACGGTCCCTGAGCACTGTCGGGAGTGATCCCTGAGCACAGAGCCAGCAGAAAGCCCTGAACATTGCTGCATGTGCCCCCACCCCCCCCCCCCCCCCGACCAAAAGGTGAAAAAATAGAAGCATTTGCAAGAAAAAGCAAAGCAGTCCATGTCATTCAGTGCTGAGAGAAATGCCGTGTGTGACTGTACAGAGCCGGGTACTAGGTGGGAGAAGGAGGTGAGGCCTTTGGGAGGGATCAGCAGAAGCATCGACTCTCAAAGTTCTGACCCATGCACCTTCGGACCCTTTTCATTAGAATTGCTGTGGGGGTCCTGGGCATCACTGGCCCACCTACATAGGAGACCTGGTGCTGGCTTGTAGGAAGGGCAGCCCCGCAAGATCTGGGGCTTTCAAACTGTTCTCAGCCTCCCAGATCCCATGCAAGTGGCTCACGCAGTGAAGAGGGGGAGTGACCTACCAGGCAGAATGTTCCTAACCCCAGAACCTGGCCCCAAATAGACTAGGTTTTGCTTTTATTGTATTTTTTTGTTTATTTAATTAATTTATTTTTGCTTTTTTGGGCCACACCCAGCGGTGTTCAGGGGTTACTTCTGACTTTGCACTCAGGAATTACTTCTGGCGGTACTTGGGGGACCATATGGCATGCTGGGAATCAAACTTGGGTCAGCTGTGTGAAAGGCAAATGCTCCGCCTACTGTGCTATTGCTCCAGCCTCCTGGGTTTTGCTTTTAAATCAGGAACTTTGATAGCTTAAGAAGTTTGGTTTAGGTGATCGAATATCCTTCAAGAAACCCTTCACCATTAACACCATCCCTTGGGTCAGCTTTGGAAGGAAGTTTGGTAGCAAACATTTCACAGTTTGGGTCCCTGTCTGATGAGGGCTCCAATACAGTTCTTGGCGCTGCTGTTCTGAATGGGTTGAGGGTCGATCGTTTTGCTCAGACTTTGAATAAGGATCTTATATCTTCTTATATAAATTAGCAGCCTCACCCACACTTTTGCTGAGGTGTACTGGGTGGGGAGGAAACTGATTCTGGAGGAGTAAATTGCTTCACCAGGAGGAAGAAAAATAATTTTAGGATCAAAATTGAATGGTTGAAAGGCTTTCAGACTATAGAATCCAAGACTTGGAGATGTTGCAGGTTTAACAATGTAATCCTCTGGGGCTGAAGAAATAGCACAGCATGAAAGGCACTTGCTTTGCATGTCGCCTGCTTGGGTTCAAACCCTGGCATCTCAAATGTTCCCCTAAGTACCACCAGGAGTGATCCCGGAGCTCAGAGCCAAGAATAAGCCCTGAGCACAGCTAGGTATGGCGACAAAACAAAACAAAACAAAACAAAAGAAAACAAAACAAAATAGAACAATGTCCTCTCTTCCACTTTCAGTGCCAGGAATAAAAATATTTCAGGTGTGAGACTGGATTTTTTTATAACTTATTCAAACTTGGTTTGAATGTTTATCAAGTGAAAAATGTTTATTCAAGAGAATATCAACATACTGAAATTCAGATTTTGGAGGAATGTTTTATTTCAGAGCATACAAATATTGAGAAATACTGTTTTATTGTTCTTTGTAGGATTTACAGAGTCAAGTATTCAGCACTGTAGAAAGTAGATATGTAGTATTTCTGTGTGTCTGTGTTAAGAAGGACTGCAATCCCAAGCTTATATGTGTCTGTAAGATGTTTAGATGAGTTTTCGAGGTAAAAAAAAATTTTCCAAATACTGGCGATTCAGTCATGCTGTAGCACTGTTGTCCTCCCGTTGTTCATCAGTTTGTTCAAGCGGGTGTCAGTAATGTCTCCACTGTGAGAGTTGTTACTGTTTTTGGCATACAAATACGTTGTAGTAGCTTGCCAGGCTTTGCCATGTGGGCAGGATGCTCTGGGTAGCTTGCCGGGCTCTCCAAGAGGGACAGAGGAATCAAACCTGGGTCAGCCTGGGTTGGCTTCATGCAAGGCAAACACCCTACCCACTGTGTTATCGCTCTAGCCAGGTGAGGGACGGACATTCCTCACTACCTAATAATATTTTAAAATATTATTTTGCTGTATCTAAAATAAAAACCAACACGATCGTGTCCGTAGACCTGTGGACTAACTTGTTATCTTCCTGTTCTTTTTTTCGGAAACAGAGAAAATGCCGGTCTTAAAGGCTGAAGCCTCCCATTATAACTCTGATTTAAACAACTTGCTCTTCTGCTGTCAGTGTGTGGATGTGGTCTTTTATAACCCAGAGCTGAAGGATGTCATCGAGGCCCACAAGATCGTCCTGTGCGCCGTCAGCCACGTGTTCATGCTGCTTTTCAATGTGAAGAGTCCTGCTGACATCCAGGACTCCAGCATCATCCGGACCACCCAGGACCTCTTTGCTGTGAACAGAGATGCTGCGTTTCCTGGTGCTAGGCCGGCGGCTCCCGGCAACCCGCCCTTACGAGTCATCGTAAAAGATGTCACCTTCTGTTCCTGTTTGTCTGACATTCTGCGCTTCATTTATTCAGGTATCTCATTGTGTGGTTCCGGCGCCCTTGTATGCTGTGAGTGTGTATTTTCCTACCATCATAGGTGAAGAGCGTGCTTGGGATAATATCTGCTGTAGGGCCAGGAATTGGTCCAAGTAACAATCATTCTTACAAGTTTATGAGTCTCGGTTTTAAATCTGCTCATTAAAAAAAAAAATCGGGCTGGAGCAGTAGCACAGAGAGTAGGGCGTTTGCCTTGCACGTGGCCAACCCGGGTTCGATTCCCAGCATCCCATATGGTCCCCTGAGCACCGCCAGGAGTGATTTCTGAGTGCAGAGCCAGGAATAACCCCTGTGCATCGCTGGGTGTGACCTAAAAAAAAAAAAGCAAAAAAAAAAAATCAGTGGTAAAAACAATATTTTCCCCCCTCCCCAGTGAGCGTGTTTATTAGTATTTTCTTTTAAAATAACCCCAAATGTGAAAATGCAAGGATCTTTTACCCAGTTTAAGGAAATAAAATTTTTCAAGCATATATAAATATGGATCTTGATCTTCACCTCTTGTTATGACTTTGCTGTTTGACTCTTGATTTTGGAAGGAATTTAGGGGGTGAAAAAGCTTGAGGGGATAAATGAGCAGGGTCATTGCATTCAGTTTGAGAACAGGAAACAGTCTCTAAAGTTAGTTCAGGCTGAAATATAATCAGCTTTGACTAGGACTATTTTAGATTTGATTTTTTTCTTAATGTGTCCTTATCTTCCAAGAGTCAACTTATTCGATGCTTTTATTTCACCTTTTTACAAATTCAGTATCAATCACATGCTCAAGAATAGAAGTTTAATCTGAGTCATTTTGCCAATGCAGGTGTCACCTCTAAATGTTCTGGGTGAGAATGGGAAGGGATGGGCCCAACCCCCAGGGCTCCAAGGGCTGGAGTGCGTGTGCTGGGCTCCCCTGGGCCACCCAGCCCCATCCCTGCCCTGAGCTGGTCGTAACCCCTGAGCACCACCAGATGTAGCCCAAAATACACAATGAAAACTAAAGTTTAAGAGGCCAGATAGTACAGAGTGCAGGGCACTTGGCCTTGCGCATGTCTGACCTGGGTTTGATCCCTGACCCTGTGTAGTCTCCTGAGCCCCACCAGGAGTGATCACTGAGCACAGAACCAGGAGAAAGTGCAAAACGTAGCTAGCTGTGCTCCTATACCCCCTACCTTCAACCCCCTCCCCCAAACAAAACAAAACCTCTAAAATTTAAAATGGGAAGGAACACATAGGGACTGGGACAGGAACAATGTCCAGCAGATAGGGTGCTTGCCTAGCATGCAGCCTGCCTGGGTTCAATTCCTGGCATCTTGCATGGTCCCCTGAGCCCAACTGTTTTCACAGGAGTGATCTGCCAAAAATAAATAAATAAATAAATAAGGTAAAGGTAAAAGGTAAAGGCCCTCCCGTTCATCGATTTGCTCGAGCGGGCCCAGTAACGTCTCCATTGGAGACTTTGTTGTTACTGTGTCTGGCATATCGAATACTCTCGGTAGCTTGCCGGGCTCTCCGAGAGGGGCTGAGGAATCGAACTCGGGTCGGCCATGTTGGCTGCGTGCAAGGCAAACGCCCTCCCGCTGTGCTATCGCTCCAGCCCAAATAAATAAATAAATAATCAAAATCAAAACAAAAAAGGAACAAATAGACTCAGAGAATCAAGCATCCAACATCTTCTGGGAATTCCCTCCCCCCACTTTATTTAAACACCAGGTTTTATAAAGTTGTTTATGATAATTTGTCACACACACATTCAGTATTCCAACCCAGTCCCGTCACCACTGTCAGCTTCTCTCTGTCATTGTTTTCATTTTCCCAGCCACCCATCAAGCCGGCCCCCATCGCTGGCCCACAGTATTTTGTGTCATATGGCTTGTTACCACTAAATGGCTGATGTAACGAGCAAAAAAATATACCTGTGGGAGAAAATTTGTGAAAATTATTGTATCTCACCATGGGGACATTAAGTCCTTGTCTGAGGGTTTACTAAGCTGTTGTTACAAGTGAAGCCTTTTGTGTAAATGTTTTGGTTAGTCCAGATTGGTTGGCTTCTACATTGCATTCCTATCCAAACTCAGATTTCAGTATTGTAGAGTTTGGAAATGCTGCTCCAGAAAATCCAGAGTATTTAACTGGGTAGAATGTAACTGGGTGTGGCTGCCTGGGCTTCCAGAAGTATGGGGAGGTAGGGGGAGGTCACGCATCCCAACTCTTAGAAGGCCTGGAGTTCGCAGCCAAAAAATCCTGTGTACCATCTCTGTCGGTCTCAGTCCTGAGGTGCTGGTGTCTGCGGAGGCCTGGTGGTGGCTTTGGGGCATGAGTGTGGTTGCTGGAACATAGGGTAGGAGGTGAGGGATGGAAGGAGCTGAGGCTGTCATAGCTGTTGTCGACCTGAAGGTAATCAGGCAGAGCATAGGAAGTCTGTGGTGATGATGGGAGGATGGAATAGAGTTGTCCAGATAGGACTCCATCTAGGAGCCCTCTGGCGCTCAGACTCAGGAAAGCCAGCATCCTGTTGACAGGTGGGCCTAGGGAGAACTTGTCCTTCCGCCAGTCCAGTGGTTTGCACACCACTACGCCACCTGGGTTCTCGTGAGTGTGCAGGTTCTCCTTGGGTAGACCCTAACCAGAGCTTGGCATTTTTTTTTTTTGGGTCACACCCGGCGATGCTCAGGGGTTATTCCTGGCTCATGCACTCAGAAATTGCTCCTGGCGGTGCTCAGGGGACCATATGGGGTGCTAGGAATTGAACCTGTGTCAGCCGTGTTGGCTGCGTGCAAGGCAAACACCCTACCCGCTGTGCTATCGCTACAGCCCCAGAGCTTGGCATTTTGACATCAGCCATCCTACAGGTGGCTTACAGGTGTGGACCGTAGACAGCAGCAAACCTGTGCTTAAAAGAACCAGTGAGCAGCCACAGCTGAAGGAATACGCCCTAGGCTTCAACCCCGAGGCTGGGAGAGTGACCCAGTTATCAGTCTTCGAGTGCAAGGTCGGCAGCAAGGGGCGCTGAGTAGAGGTTTCCAGACCTGGGCTTGGGGCAGCTGAAGGCCAACGCATTGGAAGCTGGGAAGTTCCAAGTTCCAAGTTCCAAGCTGGGAAGCTGCAAGTTCCTGGGCACAGACATCTACTCAGACACAGGACTAGTCGATGCCTTTCTGCTCTGCTTTCTCTGTACATGACAGTCCAGGCAGGGAGTCGGAGCAGGCCACAGGCCGAAGGTCTGGGCTGCCGGGTCTACCCTGCTGGCTGCTCAGGCAGAACGCAGGAAGGAAGGCCTCAGCGGCACACCCACACAGTGCCAAGGTCCCCTGCACTCTGCACTCCTTCCTCTCAGCACTACTCTGTCAGTCTGACCTTACACAGTATAATCTCCGTCTCAAGCAGAAATCGGATTGTTTAAAAGTATTCAAGGTACGTGCGGTGGGGCCGAGCCTGTGGGTGCCAGCACGCGTTGTGGCATTTCCTCCCAGCTGGCGCGCTGCAGGGGGATGCCAAAGCCTGAGGCCCGGAGGGCGGCAGTGCACAGCCGTGGCAGGGAGACTGAAGATGCCCCCTGGATGCTAGTCTGTGATGGGTAGTGTCACGGCATGGTATTTCTGTTATGGGTGCCTCTTCACGTCGGCCACCTGGACGGACAGTCGTGCTGTTCATTTATTTCAACTTCAGCCGCTCAAGAATGTCCCCGTCAAGGGGGCTGGGCCCCACGGACCCTTCTCCAGAAAGTTCTATCCGCCATTCACTCGGGGTCCGAGTCGAGTGTTGGAGCCAGAGTTTCGAGCACACGAGCTGCACAGGAACGGAGTTGATGACCCAGAGAAGGACGGCCTGAGGCTCATCTCCAAGCTGGGTTTGATCTTTAACAAGCGAGGTCAGGAGCTGAGAGACCTGGGCTATCAGAAACACGCCTTCAACCTGCTCATCAGCAACTGCCTGGGGCTACCACAGGCCCCTGCCAGACAAGTCGTACCCTGTGGAGCTGCCTGTGCCTAGTGTGGTCATTTATTTCTACAACGAAGTGCTGTCTGCCCTGCTCCAGATGGTTCACAGTGTCCTGGACCGCACGTCTCCGCAGCTCCTGCACGAGGTCATCCTGGTGGATGATGACAGTGACCTTGACGACCTGAAGGGAGAGCTGGACGAGTTCGTCTGGAAGTACCTCCCCAGGAAGGTGTGAGACGTCCGCCACGCACAGCGGGAGGGACTAATCCGAGGGCGGATGATCGGAGCAGTGCACACCACAGGGGAGGTGCTGGTGTTCCTGGACAGTCACTGTGAGGTGAACACCGTGTGGCTGCAGCCGCTGCTGGCCGCCATCCATGAGGACCAGCGTGCTGTGGTGTGCCCCGTCATCGACATCATCAGTGCTGACACCCTGGGGTGTCCCCTGGGGTGCGTGGTGGCTTCAACTGGGGGCTTCACTTCAAGTAGGACTTGGTCCCCGCTCAGAGCTGGGTGGCCCGGGGGGCGGCACCGCCGCCATCAGGTTGCCCACTGTGACTGGGGAGATATTTGCCATGAACCGACGCTACTTCAATGAGCTGGGGCGGTACGACGGCAGCATGGACATCTGGGGAGGAGAGAACCTGGAAATCTCATTCTGGATCTGGATGTGCGGTGGGCGGCTCTTCATCATGCCCTGCTCCCGGGTGGGGCACATCTTCTAGAAGTGGCATCCCTACGGCTCCCCCGAGGGCCAGGACACGATGGCCCACAACTCACTGCGGCTGACCCACATCCGACTGGACGAGTACAAGGAGCAGTGTTTTTTCTTATGGCCTTATCTACGAACCAAAAGCGATGGGATCATCAGTGAGCCTGGGGAACTGAGGAAGAGGTTGGGTTGCAAATCTTTTAAGTGGTACTTGGATAACGTCCACCCAGAGATGCAGATCGCAGGACCCAATGCCAAGTCACAGCAACCCCTTTTCATAACAGAGGAGCCTAGCGCCCCAAAGCCCTTCAGCGCGGATGGCTCTGTCACCTGCAGACCAGCC